TCTTTTATAAAACAACAGCTTGGACACTTTCTCCAAATTCTCATTGTTAAGGACAAGTTCATTTAGTCCTGGTTTGCTCCAGGAGTCTGGAGTGGCACTCTTCCTGAATTTGGCAGCGACGGGCACTCTTTCCCCCAAGGTTTAAGAAAACATGAAAACCACAAAGAATGTTTGAAATTATTTTTTGTAGGTTGGCCGAACAGATGCCTCTCCTCAAGGAATATGGCATAGGCCAAGACAAAGCCATATTCATTCAACATTTATTATTCAGTAATTGCACACACTCTGAATTACACAAACTTTACTTTCAAGGAGAGGATTTCACTTTTCTCGGAAAGGTCTGTGCACAAAACGGAAGAGGAACGGGCAGGGGATAACGGCTACAAGAGTCAGCCTTGGCAAGGGCAAGAATCGTCCAAAACACAACATTGCAAGTGCCTTCGAGGAAAACCAGCCAATGCAGATATGATTTTTGTCTAGGGGTCAGGCCGGAGCACCTGGCTGGCTGTATTTATAGGGCATTTGTCAAACCAATCTGTAGCATATAGATGAGGTGAAACGCAGAGGTAGAATATTACTCTAGATCACATGTAACTTTTCAAATACAGTCTTCCTGCTGAAATTCCAGGAAGAATGTCAGTGACTCCAATAGACAAGCCTGCCAGTGAGTCGAGTATGTTTATTTATTATCCCTCTGTGCCAAGCACTGTTCTGGCCAATACTAAATGATGCAAAATAAAGAGTAACCCCCACGCTTACAATCTGCTGAGAGCAAATGGATTAGATCCTCACACACGCAGTGACATTCACACACATGTATTCCACGTGGGTGGTCAGACACCTCAACGGTATTGACACCAATGATACACGACATAATGCCTTCCTTCAGAAAAAAGTCCTGATTGGAAGGCTAAGATTGGGATGATGGAAAAGCAACTGATACTTTGCTTCCCCATGGATGCCAGCTGACGCCTCAAGCGTGTCTTTTGCACAAAACTCATACTGAACCAGAGTTATAGCAGAAACATGGACTCCCACTGGTGATCAGAAACTGTTTCTATGAATATTAGAGTCAGTCTGTGTCTCTGAAACTCCTGAGTCCCCTCAGGCCAAAGTTGAGCCCTATTTACCTTGATGCTGCACGTGGCTGATGGAACCTGGATGAACAAACAGAAGTCTTCCTTGTATTGGTAGGCAGAGATGCCTGCTGCGACACTTCTCCACTTCCTGGCATGCTAGTCTCCATCACACACTTCAGCTACGAGAACATATGCATATATACTTCTTTACCAACATATCAGTTTGGTTGGCCTGGAGGTTGCCTTTTATCACAGAATACAGCTTGGTCATTTGATACTAGATTTTTCTACCATTGCCTACAATGCCAGCATACACTTAAGTAGCAAAATGTTAAACTTTCAACAGTTCTTAAAAGGACCATACTCTCGAAAAATAAGGGGGAAAATAAGTGGGAACAGAAAATGAAGAGGGAGGAAGGAGAGGTGGAGAAGGGAGCAGCAACAAGGAATGACTGGAACAGGTGGGGTACAGGTTTCCAAGGGCAGCCAAGCCCAGCAGAACTTTTCCATGATAGAAAGAACAGGACTAGGCTGTTGTAAGCAGGGCCATCTGCTTGTGCAAGGGGACTTGGCACTCGAAACCTGCCTCAAGGAAGTTCCAGTTCCTGCTTTGGTCCAGTTGGCATGTGTCCTTCACCAAACAGTCCTCACTGGCTGTAGGGACATCCTGATGCCTCCCCATCCCCACAGTAGGATAGTCCCCGGCTACTGTCTGCACTGGATTGTCCACCAAGACGCTATGGGATGGTCCTGATGTGCACCTGCCAGTAATCTTGCTTGCCAATAATTTTTTCCCCCTAGCTTTTGTATTTTTTTTAAATGCTATTTTGGAGCATTTGGACTCTGTGCTCGTGCCTTGCACCCTTTTCCAAATCTCTGCTCCTCCCCGAGGAAAGCAGGCTTTCCATAAGGCTGTCACAAACACGTGTGTTAACCCAAGGAAGCTCCTCAGGCCATGCTGACCTGGGTCCAGATCGCCCACACGAGGCTCTTGACTTCTGCCCTGGGCACACGTCAACCACATTTGAGTGCTTCCTCCACCTGCCTGTTCCGGAGTTAGACAATTCCTTGGCCAGGATTCCTGGTAGCCTGGTTCTGTTGGAAGGTGCACTTGAGGCATGGCAAACACGCGGGGCTGAAGGCTGTTAGATCTCACCTTTATAATCACACATAGCAATCGGACTCAGAATGCCTGCTTCCCAAACAGAGGAACTGGGCCGGTTTTCACTGTTAGGGGCCCAGGTCCTCCAACAAAGTCCAACAGACTAAGGATCCAATAAACACTGGTGAATGAATGTGGCTGCTTTGACTGTCTGGGATACCTGTAAATTGGAGAGAAATATTAGAATTCAATCCCCTTTCTTCCTTCAGCAGGTGTCACCATTGTCCTGTGGGATTGTAGGAGGAGTTTCTGATTGCGGGGTTGCATGAATCTTCCCCAAGTCAGATCCTGGTGTAAGCACTCCAGCGGTTGCAGAAACATCAGAAGGCGGTGATGGACAGGAACGAGTCAATCGAGCTGGAACCCAAACCGGAACTGGGGCGTCCTGTGGAAACACACAAATGGCTCCTCGAGCCTGCCTAATAACTGGGTCTGGGCCCTTCCATTTGGACTCCAGAACATCCTTCCACTTGACCCAAGATTGCTCTTGCGCCGTGTTAAGGGAATGACGATCTGCAGCACTAAGGCCTTGCTCATCCAGCTGTAAAAAATTGATAGTGAAGAGAGCCAGGGCTAGAGTGGCCCGAGGGCTCTGACTGGCGAGACCAAGTGATTCCCAGGTGGTTTTTTGTTTTTGTAACAATTCCTTAATAGAGCGATGAGCACGTTCGATTATCCCCTGACCTTGTGGATTATAAGGGATGCCAGTCACTAATTTGACGCCCATCTTCATGCAAAAATCACGAAATTTGGCTGAAGTATAGGCGGGACCATTATCAGTCTTAATACATTCAGGTTTACCCCACTCGGCCCATGCCTCCAAGCAGTGTTGGATTACCTGCGGGGCAGATGGCATCACAGCAGGAGGAGCCATTAGTGAAATGGCTCCAGAGCCCTGAGGCCATGGGCCCAGCGTGGCCGGCGCAGTAGCACCGCCATTATCTTTCTTCTCCTTTTCTGATCCTCCTCTGTCTCCTGCGGGTTTGCGTTCTAAGCGCCTATGCCGCCTATCCCGCTTGTACCCTTCCTCCACGTCGGACGTCTCCGAACTTGATGAGGAAGATACTGCTTTCAATTTCACCTCTATTTTTTGCTTCAAACCGGTTCTCCTCTCCCGCTCTGTTTCTGAGAGACTATCCTGGGCAGACTGAAGGGCTTTGTCACTCTCTCTGACCGCTCCCTTACGGAGGGCATAAACCATCTGCAAAAATTTCACCAGAGAGATCCGTGCGCCCATGTCTATAACCAGAAGCGGTGACTCATATACCTCGCTCCTAGTCACCCGAAAGTTCTCCCTCTCAGAGCTCCTGACCTGTTTTTTGGCCGCAGTTCTGACTTCCACCCGTTTGAAACGGGAGGCCCCCTCCAGGTCCCGGGTTTCCGGCACCAGTTGTCGCGCCCACGTGTCTTACCGCCCAGCAGTAAGAGGCAGACGCGAGTGAAGCCTTCTGCGGTAAAATTTATTGCGCGCACAAAGATGAGGAAGAGGAAGGGGGGCGACCCCGGCAGTCTTTCTGCTCTTATGTGCTGACTGGCCCCGCCTCCGCCGATGATAGGTCGGCGTCATGATCACGCAGGGTCCTGGGCAACCGGATTCGTCAGTCCCCAGTGTTCACGTGCCGGCCACGCCGCAGCTCACTGCGCAGGCGCCTCATGCGTAGTACAGCGAAGGCTACGTGACTTCCACCACGCACGAAGGTGTGGCTTCTCCGGCCGGCGCCATTTTAGGCACAGCATGTGGCCAGTGCATACAGATGCGGCTTGCAACAAGCAGGGAAGATAATCTTAGCCAAGGACGCTTGGCAAGCCCTTGGAAATTCACCACTAAGAGCCACTGCTCCCGGGACCAGGGATAGAAAAAGAGTTCCAAGTTGTTCCCCAAATCCTTGTGCTTTGGGCCGCACCCTCGAGCAGGCATTCTGCTCTAGATTTGTTAGGGGGCGTCGATGGGGGAGAGGAAGCCTGCAGCCATCCTGGAGGTGTGCCCCCTGGCAGCGCCCTGCTGGCTGTGCCAGCACCTGTCGGAGGAAGGCCAGCTGGCTGCCCACACCGGCACGAGTGGACGCGGCCCGGGCTGCGCCTCCCCCGACTCCCCCTACTCCGGGCCCCAGCACCTCCAGACGCCGACCCGCACGCGCCCCGCCCGGCGCAGCCTTCCCCCTCGGCGGCCGGCCCACGGCCCCCAGCTCCCGCCCGCCCGCCGCCGCGCTGGGGGAAGGTAGCGAAGGGGAGGGGACAAGCCGGAGCCTCCCGGCCGGCCAGGGCCTTCTCTCTTTCCACGCCGCGCCGAGACGCTGCGCCCTCCGCGCCCGCCGCGCCCCGAGGTTAGCACCGAGCCCGAGGCGTGGGCCGGGGAGGGGGAGGGCACGAGGAGCCCCCCGCGACCACCCCCGACGAGCGGCCGAGCCTTCCGGGGGTCTGCGAGGAGCTGGGGACGCGCGCCCGGACGAAGTGAACTTTGCGGGGCCGAAAACTTTGCAGCCAGGTGCCGGGATCCGGACCGCTGGCAGGCTGAGCGCGCCCGCCGAGCCGGGAGCAGCACCCCGCGGCCTCGCTCCCCTGCGCCCGGGACCCGGAGACCCCCCTGCCCCGCTCCGGCGCCCTCGCCTGGTGTCTGCCCCCTCCCCCTCCTCCGGGGGTGGGGGTGGGGCGGGGAGAGGAGGGGGGGCGCCCGGAGCGCCGCATCGATTGGCAGCTTTTTGCTATCGATCCCCAAAGTGCTAGCCGCCGACTTGGCTTCGGGGGGCCGGCTGCGCCCGACCCTGGAGGGTTCGCCTGCGTTCCCGGCCCCCACACTGACAGGTGCTCCCAGCCACTTGCTGGTGACTCCTCGCCTCTCCCCCGGCTTCCCCCGCGTCCCCACCCCCCCTCTTTTTTTTTTTTTTTCCCTCCCTCGCCGTCACCCCCACCCCCACCACTTTCGGCACAGCTCAGGATTTGTTTAAACCTCGGGAAACTGGTTCAGCTCCAGGTTTTGCTTTGATCCTTTTCAAAAACTGGAGACACAGAAGAGGGCTCTAGGAAAAAGTTTTGGATGGGATTATGTGGAAACTACCCTGCGATTCTCTGCAGCCAGAGCAGGCGCGGCGCTTCCACCCCAGTGCGGCCCTCCCCTGGCGGCGGTGAGAGAGACTCGGGAGTCGCCGCTTCCCCAGTGCCCGCCGTGCGTGTGCGTGAACTCTCGCCCCAGTCAGCCAAATGCTCCTCTTCGGGCTTCTCCTGCTGACATCTGCCCTGGCCGGCCAGACACCCGGGACTCAGGCTGAGTCCAACCTGAGTAGCAAATTCCAGTTCTCCAGCAACAACAACAAGGAGCAGAACGGTGAGTCGGGCCCTCCTCCCTCCACACCTCTCTCCCCTCTTCGCGGCGCTCGTCGTGTGTGCGTTCCGTGGGCACCGCGCGTGGGCGCCAGGGGTACCCCGGCTCGCCAGCGTGGTCTCTCGCGTCTCCTTTTGGTGCCGGTGCGCGCTCTTGGCCCCGTTGGCACGGGCTGGCGGAGAATGTGTGTGTTTGGCGACTGCGCGAGGTGCCACAAAGCTGCAGCGGGGTGGCGGGGCAGACGTGCGCGCCCTTGCGCCCACGGAGAGGGGACGTGGCCCCCTGAGCGGTGGCGAACGTCAGTTGCAACGCGCGTGGCGGCTTCCCTCGCGGCCGCAGCCGGAAGATCAAGAGCTGCCTTTAAGAAGGAATTGGAAATGAATGAGGCTTGGCCCCCGTTGGACTTGACTCAAGATTTTGGGAGGGTGGGGTTGGGTGGGAGTCGGAGGTATTGGTGGGGGTCTCGGGTGGCAAGGCATCAATGAATGAACAAGTGCATAAGAGGCACTGAGGTCACGAGACCGCGGCGTGGACCTTTCAAGGCACATTTGGAAAGTATTTCTCTCGTGCTCCAAGTTTTTCTTTCTTCGCTTTTCCTCCCCCCCCCCCCCAGCATGCCTTTGTACTCTGCGGCCTTACCTTTCCGGTGGCTAGTTTTTGTATGTGCATGTGAATGGCTGCTATTTTGTGTGTGCTGGAAACGACTTAATCCTGCGTAGGAAATGAGAATTACTTTCAGCTTTCAAGTGTACCTGAAATGTTTAGAAAACTCTGAGATGCGAGTTCCCCTGGGCTGGGGTTGCGCGGAGCTGGAGAAAGGCGCCTTTCATACCGCCGGCGCGGCCCCAGGCTGTGTGATTTGCTTACCCTCTGAACTCCGTATGATTTACATCATTCAATTTCTAAACTCTTTTTCTCTTGATCTGCCATTATGAAGTCATTTTTTTTTCAGTAGACTTTGTAAATAGAAATTTTATACTGCACATGAAACCGCAATGTGAGTGTAGGCTGTCTAAAATTGGAATATTAAACACCCTGTTTACCAGCGGTGCCTCTTGCTGCCCTCTGAAAAGAAACGTGTGTGCTTTCCTGCTGCGTATGTCATCCATTCAGAATGCGAGGGGAGGGGGCTGCACCTACAATACCCAATTGGGGTGTCCTGTGTCCGTTACGTCTTGGGGTGGTGTTTCAAAGCTCTGGCTTTTAAACTCTTAAGTGTTCTTTGAGGAAACACACATGATCAGGGCCGCTGCAATCTTCAAGACGTTATTTGTGTGTGTGTGTGGGGGGGGGTGGCTTGTGCAGCAAAACGCAGTATCACTTCTATCTGTCAGCCTCAATGTGGCTGCTTCTTACAACCTGCTAATGTGATGGCGCTTGGCACCTGCAGGCCCCTGGAGCTGCTGATCAAAGGGCAGTCCAGGGATCCATCTCTAATCACGGGAGCTGCAGAGGGCTCCCGGAAAGTGATCAAAGAACTCCAGCACCAGCTAGACCCAGGCAGGAAGCAGATCAGACCAACCTTTGTTCTCCCTCCCGTAAAATAAGTGTCCAGTGTGAAATATCCCCTCAGACTAGGCAAGCTGGTCTGTGATGACAGGAATGTGCGGTGTTCCTAGCTTCTGTTTCTCCTACTGCCCCGTGGCCGGCATCTCCCCTGGGCTACCTGTGCCTCTCTTTGTCCCCTCCTTGTAGTTCTCTTGTGCGACCCACGTGCTTGCTAGCCTGGCTTTGCAATGGGCTGCAGAGCTCTGAGGCCACGCGTGCAGTCATTGGCCACTTGACTCAGTAGGCTCACACCCTCCTCACAGGTGAGTTCACTGCGCTGGGCCACACACATTGTGTTGCCATTGGAGGCTGGGTCATTTCCATTCCTAAGATGCATGATGCTAAAAATAGCCTGGCGTTTCCTAATCTGTGAGCAGAGAGAGGATTGGGCTATGTTTAGCTCTTGGGAGGGCTGGCAGCAGGAAGTAGCTGGAAGTGGAGGAACTGCTACTCACCTTGTAGTTTGTACTCCAAGGAGCAGAGGAACCAGCCAGCACTAGGGGGCAATATAGAGCTATTTTCCCCCTCCGCCCATGCTCAGGTTGATGACAATCCTCCCTCAAGGTGCAAGATTGGATGCGGGGTGGGCGAAGAGGACCCCCGCCCGGGCTTGGAAGCCCGTGTAGTGCATCAGCTACCACTATGGACAGTTCTTTGATGGACCTTCACCATTTTTCATGCCCTTCTATGGTTTTTTTTTCCCCCCTCATGTTGAGTTAGGATTGATTTGGATTGCCCTGCATCAATTTAACATTTACACACTTTTGACATTACAAATACAAATCTTGGCCGAGAAGATTGGGCAGAAGATGGTTCAGCTGTCTCGTTGTGTCACTGTGTGAAACATCTTCTAAGTGGTAGATAGGAAATGTGCACATTAATCTCTTGTGCTGACAGGAGACTGCTTTCAAGCCCGGCTGGCCCATGAAACTCCTGTTCTTGGGGATTTTGCAGTCTCCACCACTGTTTACTCAGTCCATTCCCAGGCCCGCTCTGATTCAATATTAACTTAGTGTCCCTAAAGATGTTATAAATGGAAATTGATTGCTGTGGCCTTGCCAATAGCCAATGCAACACAAGATGGCTTAGGAACGGATTCAGAATGAGGTTTGAGAGAGCAGTGTCGTTTAGCTGTTAGCAGGCACCTGTTGTGTGGCCTTCCATCAGGTTGCCATTCTTGCCATTTGTCTCTAATGATAGCCTAGCTTCAAGTATGACTGGATGCTTTTGTGCACTTCATTCTTAACCTTCTGGGTCTTTCATAGAAAAAAATCTGGTCTCACCTAAAAAAAAAGGATGAATGATAACACTGACTTGGCAGGTTTCTGACACGTATAGCTCCTGTGTGAACCTGGGAAAACGGGCAAGGGTCAATGCACAGATCTCACCTACGAACGGCTGCCGTGGTTGATGACAGCTCACGAGGCTGCTAACAAGTTAGAGTGGGAGGAATTGTGTTTATTCAGAAAAAAAAAAGTTTATTTTGTCTACTGCCCAGGCCCTAATAGATAGCAGTGAGAGTTTTACCTTGCGTCCTTGGGAGAGTACTTCCACCTGCACACAGACCTGACATGCGCTTGTTGCTTGTCTCCTGTTCTTTGCCTGTTTTTGGATAGGTTGGGGCTATGTGGTCACAGGTTAGGGTTCATTTTATGATCTTTGCTTTCTGCACTTGCGTTTTATTCCCACAACAGCTGTGGGTACATTTCCTTTGCCCACACCATCCTCTACCATGCAGACTGGTCATGACCTCATGTGTTCATGAATTTTCTCTGGCCCTCTTTTAGTTCTGGCTTCCATTCCACTGCTCCTGGTGTACCTGGATTTAACAAACTGCTCCCAATTCTCTCATCCTTTCTGGGCAGCAACTTTAAAACTCTACTGAAAAGGCAGGTAAGCACAGTGTTTAGAGGAATTGCCAAGGGCAGCTGGACTCTGAGGACTAATGGGGTTTTGCTGTAAGTCAGTCTATAGGTTTTAGCGCGTGACCTTTGGAACAATTATTTTTGTGGTTTTAGAGGTTGTGTGTATGTGTTGTTTTTTAAACTTCCTCTCGCATCTGTGCTCTGAGACAGTTGAGGAAGTTGAATAAGTGAAAGATCATTATGCAACGAGTGTTCATTTTTTACAGTGATGGAAGAGCTCTCTGTTCTACGCAATGCTACTTTTTCTCCTCAACTACCATCTTTTATCATTGATCTGATTCAGTGCCCTCCACAAGGCGTTTTGCAAGTGCAAAGGGTGCTATGGAAAGTCTCAGAGAGCAGTGTGTTCATTTGTTAGCTCGTTGTGAACAGACACAAGGAACCCTCACTTTCTCCAGTGGCGCCGTCTGGTAGGGTTGACTCCTGGTAACCCGCACAGGCTAATCAACAGCGCATAGTCCTTGGAGTGGGAGAAATGGAGGCGGATACAACAGACCAAGCACACGGGGTGAAAAGCAGTCTTCTTCTTCTTCTTCTTCTTTGTTTTTTTGTGAAGGTCACTCTTAGGTGAAATGGTGTCTAGCGTCTCCTGAGGGAACCTATCTTATCTTTCTTTCCAGGAGAAAGGGAGGCAGTTAGGTGTGTGGAATTTTGCTTTCCAGATTCAGACACGTTTTATACAAGCATTTCTTTATTATGTTAGAATGTTATGGGTTTGGCAGGTTGTGAAGTGGGAATCTATTGCCCCTGGAATGTTGTTTACATGAACGCTAACGGAAACAATCTCAGAGTTAACTACACAGAGCAGATAATCTGGCTAATATATATTGTATATGTTATGAATTAACTCGCTCCCTGTCATCGCAGTTTGCATTAGACTCCGTGCGCCAGCTGTAAGCAGCCATTTCTGGTTTCCTGTGATGGAGTACCCTGCTTCCCGGACATTGTCTTGTTGCTAAACCAGAGCATCACTAGATTCTCCTTTTTGCTGTTCTCTTTAACTTTTTTCTTTCATTTCTAGAGACTTTTGTGTACTTCTTATCTGTCTCAGATAGTGCTTGAGTCCTTTGCCAGTCGATGGCGAGGACGTGGACTAGGTTGCGGGGTGAGAGGCATCCATGCAGAAGTAGCAGTCTGGTTCTTGGAGGAAAATGAACATCCCCAGACAGGCCCGAGCTGCGCTGACGGTGAGCGCTGGGGTAAGGTGTGCACCCCTGCTGCATCCACTGGGTACTGCCAAAACCTTTAGTGCCACCTGGAAGGGCATACAAGCAACAGTGTCTGGATGCTTTCTGGGAGGGTTGTCTGGGGATGGGCTTGGGAATTGAAGGGGCACAGAAAGAGCATCTGTGTATGTCATGCTGACTCACTGCCTGAGCGTGCCTGATGGGTCCCCGCATGGGAACAGTGCTTGCAGCCAGAGTACAGTTTATCTTTTAAGCTTCCTGTGAGGTATTAGGAAAAACACCGAGGAGTCCCCGGCTCAGTAGCTTTGCGACAGTCCCAGAGCTACTTAATGTTTGGACTTTG